GGGGGGTCTCGAGGCGGCACTGGCGGAGGCGGGGCCCGACTTCGGGACCGGAGTTCTTTGAAGGTGGTGACTTCCCGGGCAGGTGCGGAGGAAGAGCCCAACGACCCGGTGGGGGGCAGCTCGGTGTCTGGCGAGAAGACAATGAGCCAGTCGCTGCGATCTTTCTTGGCCTGCGGCACCAGGGGCAGCCCCGGGCCCCGCTTGCGCTTCTGGGCCAGCTCGTGGAAGGACGTGATGGTCCGATGGGGCACCGGCTCCTCGCTGACGTCACTTCTCCATCCCCCATCAGTTTTCCCTGCATCTGTTTTCGAGCCAGAATCAGTTATTCCTGTGTTGGTTTTCCAACCAGCCTCGACTTTTCCAGGTTCGGGTTTCCAGCTAGAATTAGTATTTCCGTTGGTTTTCCAGTCAGAGTTATTGTTCTCGGTGATTTTCCATCCACCTTCCGTTTTCTCTGTGTCAATTTTCCAAATGGGATTAATTTTCCAGCTGGGCTCTGTTTTCCCGGCGTCGATTTTCCCATCATCCGCCTCGGAGAGCTCGGAGGTGGGGAGGTCCTGCTCCCCACTCTCGTCCTCTTCCTCCAGGCCGGGCGAAGGGAGATCCTGGCAGGTGGTCAGGGCGTTGCAGTTCGAGTCCAGGCCAGGGCCGGGTGGGGAGGACGCTCCAGAGCAGGAATCCGGAGAGCAGCAGAAGCTGTCCGGGGAGCAGGTGCCAGGGCCTGCCGAAGCCAGCGGGGAGCCCTGCTCCAGGGGAACAATGCTGGGCTGAGGGTGGGCATCATCATTGCCGGGAAGGTCCCGGGAGTAGACGGAGACCGGGGACTCGTCGGGGCTAAGATCTGAGCAGGAGCTGAGAGAGGAGGAGCAGCCGGGGTCTGAGGGAGAGGCAGCCCCCTCTTCCTCCTGTGAAGGGTCCTGCCGGTTTTCCAGGCCAGGCCCATGCTCCTGGCAGCAGCGACAGGGCACGGCTGGGCTGTTGGAATTGGCGTCCACCAGGGTCCCGCTGCAGGGACCCCTGCTTTCTTTGCCCCCAGTGTCTCCTGGGGGAGGGGGTGTGCTCAAGGGCCCCTCCCTCAGTTCGGGACGGCGGGACAAGTGCAGGCCCAGAGAGACGTGCTGGAGGTGGATGTGGTTGAGGTTGCAGAGTAAAGCCCTCTGAGGGGACAACATGGTGCCAGCAGCGACGAGGTGGCCTCCAGAGAACCAGGAGGATCTGGTCTTTCACATCCGTCTACCTGGCAACCACAGGCACAGACCTAGAAGACAGGGGTGGTGAAACCCAGCTCTGAGGGCATGAGCCCCTGGAAGGGCGTCGAGGTGACCGGTGTCGGGGTCAGGGCGGGGAAGACAGGCTGCTCTGGACAACATTTAAATAAGATGCAAATCGCCATCGACTCGCCACTAGTTCCCACTGCAGTGTTTGCAGGTGGAGTCGGATGTAACCCCCCGGGAATGCAGCGGGGAGGGCCAGAGATTGCGGCTGCGCTGAATCTCCGTGAGGGTGCGGAGGCCTGGAAGGGGACGGGACCCAGTCTGCGGCAATCAGCCGTCCAGCCTACCCCTCCCTCCCAGGGGAAAGGGCCAAGGGGAGACCCCGCCCAGATGCTCTGAATGAGGCGAGGACAGGGCGCAGGGTTTGGCTGATTAATGCAAGAAAGAGGCGGAGGCTGCAGGGTGGAAGGAGGGTGTAGCCGGCCCCCTGTCAGCACTGTGCAGGGCTTTGCCAGCATCCACCCCGCAGCCGTGGTGCGCCCTCCATTCTCTGCATTCGTCTCCATCATCCCGCCACCCCACCCCTTCTGTATTCATTTTTACGCTTTCCTCTCTTGCCCCATCCCGAGTGCCCCAGTCCATTCATCCACACCCGTAAGGCGAGCCCTCCTTACCAGGGTCCTCCTGGAACCTCTCCTGGATTTGGGCTAGTCGGCAGCTCCCACGGTCCAGGTCCCCGCCCGGCGGGGCAGACAGCGGAGGGGAGGGGCACTGGAACAACCCTCCCGGCTGCGCAGCCGCACCCCTTCCTGCGCGGGCGTGGCCTAGCCCAGACCCGCCCCTAGTGCTTGACGTCTCGATTGTGTCATCCACCTGGACCCAGTTCACAGCTTTGATAGGTCCTAGCTTTCGGTCTCAAGGAACCCTGGTGCAAGAGCCTCGGTCCGCTTCTGTGCAGCCACCCCACCCCCATTCTCGACAGAGCCAGGCCCGCTGCCTCAAGGAAGAACGGAACCACAGGAAGGTTACACAATAATTTATTGAAAGCCTCCCCTCTCTACCCTTGGAATCTCTAGGTCACTTCTTCCGCTTATAGATCTTGTCTGCTAGCCTCAGGAAGATGGCTTGGGGCAGAGGTGCCGCGTACTGCTTGATGAGGCCCAGGAGGCGACTGTAACTGTCTTCCTCGTGCTGCCTGAACACGGCCTGCAGGTCCAGTTCCTCGTATAAAGCCTTCACCCGGGCCACCTTCTCGGCCTCCTTCTGGCCGTAATTTTCCTGGAAGGGGTTGGAGGCAGGAAAATGGGCTGAGCCTTCCCCAGGGCCTGCCTCCACTGCCCTCCCGCACGTTCCAGACCATTTCCAAAGCCATTTGCTCCACTCCTGTCTCAAAGTTCAAGTGTCTTAGATGCTGGCATCTTCCCCACGCCAACTGTTCAGATATTGCACCGGCCTCAGCTCCCTCCATTCATGGTTTCTCCACCTCGGCACTACAGAAGTTTGAGGCCAGATAATGCTTTAAGGGAGCTGTTTTGTGCATCGTGAGATGTTTGGCAGTGTCCTTAGCTCCACCTGCTAGACACGCACACAGTGTTTTAAGGACAAGAAATGTCACTGATGGGGACCAGCAGTTAGCGTAATGGCTATGTTGCTGGACTCCCATGTAGTCGACCGCGGTTTGAGTCCCGGACCCAGTGGCTTCAACTCACACCAGGAGTGCGTGTGCGTGCGTGCCCAAGATCCCGAGAGGAGAATGGAGGAGAAGGGATTGTGGCATGGCCATCCCCTTTGGGGAGGTGATTTCTTACTTTCTGTTTCTTTCTGGCAAGTGCACACCCCCTATGGCAAAACCTCTCCAAAAAAAGAAAAAAAAGAAATCAGTGATGATGCCAAATGTCCCCTGGAAGCAATTACCACCCCCGAACCACTGAACCATCCAAGCACCACTCTTCTGTCCTCTTTCTGATCAGTGCAGGGACCCCTCGCCCTGTCCTGGGCACCTGTAAGATCTGGCGCTGCTCCGGAGTGGCCCGCTGCAGACACTGAACCACCAGCCAGCTGCATTTGTTGTCCTGGATGTCAGTGCCAACCTTGCCCGTCATGCTGGGGTCCCCAAAGAGGTCAAGGTAGTCATCCTGGGCAGGGGGCAGAAAGAAGAAATGAAGAGGCTCCCAGGCAGGGGAGGAGAACTAGTGCCTGCCCTCGACGGCTGCCCGGGCCCTCCTACCTGAATCTGGAAGAACTCTCCCATCTCCAACAGGATCTTCCTGGCGTTGGCATGCTCCTTCTCCCCGTCAATGCCCGCCTACAGGGAGAGGGCGACTCAGAAGCCCAGCCCAGAGGGCCGTCATCTTGCAGCTGCTTCCCCCCTGGGTCTACACTACTGCAGCCCCCATACCAGCTCTCCTGTCAGACTGCTTGGCTTCCCACCGGTCCAAGCCATATCCTACTTCCTGGCCAGGCCTTCCTGGGAGTCTAGAAGAGATAAATCTCTCCCAGGGGCCTCAGTCTCTTCTCCCACTATGCTCAGTCTCAAGTCTCTCTGATCCCTCTGCCAGAGCTTTCTGCCACCTCCCACCTCTTTCAGGGTGAAAGGAAACCTGCAGAAGTGAGGTCAAGATTCAGCAAGTCCCACTGACTGCCCTGAAGCCAGCCTTCTCCCTGGCACCCAGAATGTCTCCTCCCGACTCCAACCCACACTCAGACGCAGTATTAAATAAGTGCTTATTAGGGCTAAGCAGTTTCATAAGCCTTGCCTTGGTTAATCCTGATAGTCTTATAGGAATCTTATCTTCTTCTTTTTTTTAAGTTCTTCTATAGGGTGTGTGCACTTACCAGAGAGAGACAGAGAAAGAGAGGGAAAGTAAGAAATCACCCCCAAAGGGAGACAGCCATGTCACGATCCCTTCTATTCCATTCTCCTCTTGGGATTTTTTGAGCGCACACACACGCCTCAAGTCATGTTCCAGCCACCGGGTCTGGGACTCAAACCACGTAGTCAGTCATGGGGCATTCAGCTGCCCTAACCTCCGGGCCACGTGATGGCCTTATCCCCATCTTACAGCTAAGGAAAGGCTCGGGGAGAGTCAGTGGCTTGCTCCAGGTCACACAGCCACTCAGTGGGACACCAGACTGGGACATCTGCTGTGCCTTCCCGCCCGAAGCACCGGCAGGGCGCTGTGGGAGGGCACTCACCATATACATTGCGGCGGCCACCGGGAGGTAGAAGGAGTAGAAAGCCGTCTTGAACTTGACGATAGACTTATACCTGTAGGGCAGAAGGCACGTTCTCAGCAGTGCAGCGCCCACCCTGAGCCGCCCTCCCTGTCTACACATGGCCCCCACCACCCCTCACCTCTTCTCAGTGAATCGGTCGAGATCCACGTTGCCCTGGGGGGCAGTGATGAGGTCCAGGGTCTGTCCGATCTCAGTCTGATAGGAAGTCTAAGGACAAGGAGGTTGGCCCCTGAGCAGGCTGTCTCCAGGCACAGCCCCACCTCGTTTCCCACGGCAGCACAGCGGGGAGAGGCCCTACAACTCGAGGCCCGTACTCACATGGTCCTTATCACCCTGCTTCCAACCACACCAGGACAGGGGAGCCCTTTTTGTTTTGTTTTGTTTTCCTCCAATTCAAGATAGAGAATGCACATGCAAGAGGGATGGAGAGAGAGAAGCGCCCTCGATAGGGTCTTGCCGTGCTGCGACCCCCTTTTCCCAGCCCTCCAGCTCCTCAGCATCCTGAGCACACACAAGGACGCCTGGGTGTTTTCGGACAGACCAAGGGCTCCACCTCTGTGGACGGTCATGTGACTTCAGCCCTGCAGTACAATACACCTCGGCGGCATGAGAAGCCCCTCCTGCTACCACACTGCCCTTCTCAGCTCCTTCCCTTCCCCTGCCAGCCCTAGGAATCTCCTGTGACGGGACTGTCCGATGGGGGCAGAGCTTCAGCGGGCAGCCCGGGCACTGAGTCCTGGTCTGCCGCACACCTGCAGGAAAAGCTCCATCAGGTTCAGGTAGTAGGGCTGCTCCCGGCAGTAGTGCTTCAGCAGGCGGTAGATACAGGCTTCCAGAAGCAGAGCATCATTGACGGCGTCCAAACCGATGCCTGGCTATCAGGGACACGGGGAGAAAGGAGCAATCCATCTCTGGCCTAGACTCAGCAAGAACAGTTACCCAAACTCCAAAATCCGGCTGTACAGAACCACCTCCCTCTGAAGGTCTCCATCCCCCCTGCTCCCTCCCACCCAAGTCACCTTCTGATACCAGCAGATCTGCCCCCGGCGGGTGAGGGATGAATCCATGATATCGTCCGACACCAGGAGGAACGCTTGCAGCTAGGGGAAGGGAGAATGGGGTGAGACCGCCACTGCCGGGGCTCCCAACACAGTCCATCCCTCAGCAACATGGATGCTACTTTGGACAGTCACTATGACGAGGGTGGGCTGGAGGGAGGGCCTCTGTTCTGGGCTATGTGCTTGGAAAGCTGCATGACCTCTTTGGTTCAGACTCCTCGTCTATAAAATGGGATTACAACATTCTTGTTTTAGACCCAGCAGGTGGTATGATAGTTAAGGTGCGGGACTCCCATATGGCTGACCGCAGTTCAAGTCCCAGACCCAGCTGCTTGAAACACACCGGTCATGTGTGCATGCATGCCCAAAATCCTGCGAGGAGAATGGAGAAGAGACTGTGGCATGGCCATCCCCCCAGGGCGTGACTTCTTGCTTTCTGTCTCTCTCCACAAGCGCATTTCCATTGTTTTACCACCTGGCCTCAAAATGCAGGTTTTTATGTGACTTCTCTTCTTTGTTAAATATAGGGAACTTAACTTGAAAAAGATCTTCAAAGACTCTCAGTAGGCTGACAGTTCTCAGTCTCTGCTTTAGAATAATTTTTGGAAGAACTTGTATCACTTTTAGAACTGTCACCTCCTTAGAGGAAAGGACAGACACTGCTCTTCCCAGTTCCCAGGCCACAGTCCATCCACAGCTTTCTCCGGTTATCCGCATTTGTTAGGGTATTTCACTCTGTCTAAGTGGCTATAGCCCAGAGGCACAGAAACAAGGAAGAAAAAGAAACAGAGCACAACCCAGGGGCCAGCAGGTGGTGTGGAGCATAAGGCGACTGCATCCCGCTTGGTGGACTACACAGTTTGAGTCCCAGACCCAGTGACTTGAAAATCACACCAGGCATATGTGTATGCGTGCCCAAAATCCCAAGAGAAGAAGAGAGAAGGGATTATAGTGCGGCCATGCCTAGGAGGGGATTTCTTTCTTTCCCTCTCTCTCTCTGTACGGTGAGCATACATAGCAAATTTAACACACACACACAACCCAGGACCACTCCCACCCCAGGCCCTCCACTCCAGGGAACCTCTTCTCCTTCCCTTCCCCAGCCCCCGCTCACCAGTTCCACACACCAGCCCACAGTCAGGGCCCTCTGGAGACTATCGGCATCCTGCTTCCTGGGCTCCACCAGCTCCCGGAACGCCACCAGCACCGTTATACCCCGGTTATACTTGCCTCCAACGGCGTTGTACTCCAGGACCTGGAGGAGGAAGGGGCATTTGCATGCAAAGAGCAGCTACTCAGACATCCCTCCTGGTCCTCTTCCGACCACTACCTAACTTTCGCAAGCTTACTTACTTCCCAGGACCTGTTCCATGCGGATCCAGCTGCCTTAGCGCATGCCACTGCTAGGCCACTCCACCACTGGCAGATCCTCCCCAACCCGCCTCCCCTCTAGGGAGCCTCTACAATTGCTACTCTTTTGGCTCCTTCCCCCAAGTCTTGGAGCACAGCTAGAGTTCCCAGGGGCCCAGGCACCTTGTCTTCCCCAGTTTACTTAAAAGGGCCAGGGTGGGATTAAATTCTGCTCCCGGGCTCATTTTGCCAGCACACATACTAACACTAGAATGGCAGAGATTACTATAGCCCCTGCACAAGGATGACACCCAAACGAAAAAATGAAATTCTGCTCCCAAGCCCAGGGAAAACTCAGGACACACTGTGGAATGGCTGGCTTGCTCCAGTCCCTCCTCAGGCCCTGCCCTATCCCCCACTCTCTTAGACTTCCCACTGCCTTCTGCCCAGAATTCAACCCATTTCCCAACGAAATGCTTCCCTCACTGCAGTAAAGGTGAGGCTCCTCCAAAGCTGGTTAGCAGAGGTGCTCGGAAGGGACCCAAGTTGGGAAAATCTATCTCCCTCCTTCCTATGGGGCCTCCTACTCTGCCTGCTGCTGACTTGGGCTCTACCTGACCTAATTTATTAGGAAGACTTCCCTTTTAATCCCCATCCCATTTTCTTGCTTCCCCTCACACAGATGAGACAGACAGCATTTATAAAAAGAACTTTACTACTTTAAAACAAGGGGGGGGGCAGGGGAGGAATTAGGCAACTTAAGTATCACAGCAATAGCTGATATCTTAGAATAGGGGTTTCTGAGAGCAGCAGAGGGCGTAACAGTTACATTACTGGACTCTCACATGGGCAACCAAGGTTCAAGACCACCAGACTAGGTGGCTCGAAAATCACGCTGGGCAAACGTGTGTGCATGCCCAAGATCCCAGGAGCAGAATGGAGAAGAAGGGATTGAGGCGTGGCCCCAACCTGGGGGGTGATTTTTTCACCTTCCTTCTCACCGTGTCTGTCTCTCTGTCTCTTTCTCCCTCTCGCCCCAGCAAGCACACACATACACTCTAAAGCAAAAACCTCTTCATAAATAAACAAACGGGGGTTTCTGATTTTATAACTTTACTCGGGCCCTAGAAAGACGGGACAACCTCAGACTGCCTTCCTCTCAGGTCTCTGCCACAGTAGAACCATATGATTTCAGGCACAAAATCAAAGACTTAACAGATTCAAGGCCTCCACGCCCGTGCAAAGCAGTGTGGATGGCGGACTTTCTTCAGAGCCAAAAGTCAGGCTGATGAGCTGAGTAAGTGTACCTGCCCAGGCCCCACCGCCTCCAAAGCAGACCCAAGGCTGCTCAGGTAAAAGCTTTCTCCCACCTCTATCATAAGCCCCCTACCACAGCTGAATCCCACGTATATGCAGAGTGACAAAAGGTTTGCTCTCTCAAGTCATGAGTCCCTCACCTCCTTAAGCCGGACAATAGCATCTCTTGTCTCTGGGTTCCCCAACTCATCCTCAGTCAGCACCTTGACAATCTGGGAGAAGTGCTGGATGAAATCCTGCCTTTCCTGGGCATAGACATCTGATTTTTGGTTTCCATTCATTCTGTAAGAGGAGCAAAGTGCTCTAGGAAAAGGAAGAAAAAGTCAGAAACTTCAACTACAGCTTCCCTCCCCAAGACCCTTCACCCCAACCACACTCACCGGGGCTCCTCTGTCCACGCTTGGCACCAGCAGCGGGCACTGTGCCAGGCCCCCAGAACTGAGCACCCGTGCACCAGGGAGGGCCGCCACAGGAAACCCAGGCACCTCTCCTGGGGTGCCCAGCAGGGGGCCGGCAGCAGGAAGACCCCCACAGATCTCAGCCAGCGGGACAGGGGCATCGTGGGTGTGGCATAGGGAGGAGGCACCAAGCACTCCCTGCAGGGGCAAGCACCGAAGGCAGATGCATGGTGGCAGCTCCCGGGATGACCCTCAACCCCATCCTTTTACCTCTAGGCCCAGAATGCCCACTCTCTTGTGAACTGAGACTGGAACAATTATAGAAAGAAGCTATATAGGGGGGCCAGCAGATAGCATGGTGGTTGGCTGACTGTAGTTCCAGTCCCAGACCTGGCGGCTTGCTCTCACTTTCTCTATCTCAATCCTTCTCTCTCAAAACTTTTAAAAATAATAATACTAAATAAAATTTAAATAATTCTTTAAATAAAAAAAGAAGCTATACAAGGAACAAAAGTATGGCTGAGTGATCGCCACTTCAGAGCTGGGAGGGCCCTAAGTTACCTTATTGCACAGCGCCAAACTGAGGCTCTAGCAGAGGCAGAGCCAATCTAGAACCCAGGTCTTCCCTGGCAGGTGGTGGAAAGGAGTAGCTAGGCTCTGAGCTGTGCCCGAAGGAGAGAACTGGGGCCAGAACCCATGGGTGCTGAGGACATGTGGGTTCTGGGCCTCACAGGCTGTGCGGGGGCTGCTCACATAGCCTCGGAGCCTCTCTGGGCGTGTGGGGACCGCTTGCTGCAAAGGAGCAAACCGGAGTCCAGGCACGTCCGGGGTTCCAAAGGACACAGGCAGTTCTGAAGTTTCTGCACGCCCGAAAAGCAGGCCAGTCGGGTTCACAGAGCCCCACAACGCAGAAACTATACTGCCACCACAGGATAGGCTTCCGGTGCCTCACAGCACCGCTATCGAAGTAAGGCCGCGTGACCGGCGCCCGCCTAAGGTACCAGCAAAAGTTCCCTCTCACCTGTTTCTGGACGCTGGTTCTCGCCTAGTGCAAACTGTCGGCGGGGTACTACTAAAAGCTGAACCGGCTCGGCGCTCGGCTCTCTGGGTCTAGTAGTTCCCGAGCTCCCTTCGCTGTGGGCAGAAGTGCGTCATTAAACTACAACTCCCGGCGTGCCGCGGGAGGGACAGAGACAACGTGATCCCGCGTGGCTGGCTGGGCGGAGACGGACCGCGCTGATTGGCTGCTTGCCCTCGTATGAGCATGGGCCCTGTGACGGGCGACCAATGGAAGGGTGGTGCACAGAACCGTCCGCCCAGAAGGCGCGGCCGTCTGTGGTGGGCGGGATGGTGCCGGATTCCCCCGCACTTCTGCGCTGGAAACCGCCCAGGCTGGAAACGACCCATCCTGGCTCCTGTCTGTTAAACCTATTCTAATCTTCGGTTTTTATCTTCTTGTTCAGCTGAGTGGCGTGAACTCTGGCAGGACTAGCTTTGCCAGAAATCATTGGGCAACCGTAATCCTCATTAAGTGCCTTGAATCTGGCTTTCCTCATCTGTTGAATAAAGATGACAAAATAAGCTACAGAAAGTATTTGAAGGACTCAAGAAAGAGAAGACTCAGAGCACAAGCTAGAACCATCACTCTTACAACTTTACCAGCCCACCGTGGCTAGACCCTTAGCCCTTTCGCCATTAAACTTCCAGGTCCTCGTAGCTGCAACAACTCCACACATCCGGAAAGATGCTGAAACCCCAAACCAGCCAAGACATAATGGGCTTTGTACATGCTATGGCATAGATGATCCTTGAAGGCATTATGCTGAATGAAATAAGCCAGACAAGAGGATAAGCACTGTATGACTCCACTTAGGTGAAAAATCCAGAGTAGTCTGACTCGCAATACAGAGTAAGACTGATGGTTGCCAGGGGCTGGCAGCGAGAGGGAAATGAGTTATCATTTAATGGGTACAACTCTTCATTTGAAAGGTTGAAAAAAGTTCAGAAAATGCTGGTGATGATTGTGCCACAACGTGAATATACTTAGTCCCACTTAACGTATATACTTAAAAATGGTAGGGACCAGCAGTTAGCGTACTGGCTATGTCGCTGGACTCCCACGTAGTCAACCACCATTGGAGTCCTGGACTCAGTGGCTTAAACTCAAGCTGGGTGCGTGCGCGCTCAAGATCCTGAGAGGAGAATGGAGGAGAAGCGATTGCGGCGTGGCCATCCCTCCTGGGGGTGATTTCTAGCTTTCTGTCTCTCTGTCTCTCAATCTTTCCAGTGAGCACCCACACCATATAGCAAAAACTCTCCAGGAAAAAAAAAAAAAAAAGGTAAATTTTATGTATGTTGTATGACAATTTTAAACTAAGAATTACTATGCTATCTGAAGAGGAACTAGGAGGAGGTCCAGGAAAGCGCCAGTACCTGTGAGTAAGGTAGGACTGCTATCGCTTGTCAGGATTGGGTTTGCCATGCTGGGTGGCTCTACCTTGGGAGAGGAGCCCATATGTGAAAAACAAGAATCTCAAAGGAGGTAGAGATGAGACACCCGAGCCTCAGTGCTAAGATAACACTTCAGGAAAGGTTGCAAATCTGAGCTGGAGAAGAGGCAGTTCTGACTCCAGCTTCGCTGTCCTGAAGGATGAGGCCTCCACCTGCAAGTCATCCCATCCTTGTCCATGCAACTGGCCAGGCGCACCACCGTTTTGTAGCTTTGGATGGCAAAGGCCATTCAGAAAAATCTCCAGTTCAGGCCCAGCAGTTAGCGTAATGGCTATGTTGCTGAACTCCCATGTAGTCGACCATGGTTCATGTCCCGGACCAGGTGGTTTAAAACTCACGCCGGGCGCATGTGTGTGCGTGCCCAAGATCCCGAGAGGAGAATGGAGGAGAAGGGACTGCGGCATGGCCATCCCCCCTGGGGGGTGATTTCTCGTTTTCTGTCTCTCTGTCTCTCTCTGTCTTTCTGGCAAGCGTATGCACCCTCTAGCCAAAACCTCTCCAAAACTACAAAAATAAATAAATAAATGAGAGAGAAGAAGAAAATCTCCAGTGCAGCATTTCATAGAAGGGACCCAGGGAGGAGGATGGATGGCAAATTGAGACCGGAGCCCGGAGCAGTAGAGCCCCACATGAACAGCTTGGTAGTCTGAGAGATCCAGCCCATTTTCCTCTTGTTTATTCTCACTGCTGATATCTATATATGCAGTAGCTAATGATTCACGCACAAGTGAAACCTGCACTTTCACACACATAATAACCTACTGAATGCTCACAGAGACCCTGTAGGAAGTCCCCTTTAGCCTGCGTGTACTCCTCAAAGCTTTACGGCACTGAACCAACTTCATCCACCTGAAGGCTGCACATCTGCCTTTCATTACATGTCCCTCTCCAAGCCTGTGGATTCTTCCCTAAACCTATTTTTTCCTTGCCTTGCCCTCTGTCAAGACCTGGCTCATTGTGGCGCTGCTCGGTGCCTGGGCCCTTCTGGAGGTGTGTGTAGGACAAATACTCCATTTTCTTTCTATACCAACTGAAGGGAAATGGTTCTTCCCTCTAGGAAGTTGCTACTTTTTTTTTGTTTCAGGTTTTTGCCATAAGTATGAGTGTTTGCTGGAGAAAAAGAGAGGGAAAGTGAGAAATCACACCCCGGGGGGGACAGCCACACCTTATCCCTTCTCCTCCATTCTCCCCTGAGGACTTTGGGCACACATGCACATGAGCCCAGCGGGAGGTGCAACTTGCTGGGTCCAGCCATGTGGGCGTCCAACACCTTAACCACCATGCCACCTACTGACCCCAACTTCTGCTATTTTTAACACTTCACTCCTGTTGTTTTCTTCTTACTAATTTGTTTATTACTTCAATGAGCAAGAGAAAGATAGAGAAGCCAGTAGGTCCTGACACCACAGTCTACCCCAGCCTCAACCAGCCCAGATTATGGGCGTGCAAATAGATGCCCAGCACACTCAGGGAGGACACAGAACCCCAAGCTTCCCCTACTGGTGGCCTTACAGAATGTTACATTGTACCCCTGTACCGCAGTCAGGCCCCAGTATTTCATTTCTGATGTGTAGGAGTTGTTTCCCTCCCGGGACAATTTAATTCTACCGTTCTCTGCAGACGCCAATTCTACAATTCATTTCAGTTCTGACATTATCTTAACCATAGGTGAAGGGAAGATCAGTCTCCAAGCAAGCAGATGATGGAGTGGTTAAGGCACTGGGTTCCCACATACCCAACAGTGGTTCAATTCCCTGACCCAGTGGATCATACCACGTTTGTGTGCACACATGTCCAAAATCATTTTTTTTAAGCAAGAAATCACCCCCCAGGGGAATGGCCAAACCGCAATCCCTTCTCCTCCATTCTCCTCTCAGGACCTTGAGCACACATGCACATGTGCCCAGCATGAGTTTAAGCCACCCAGTCTGGGACTCGAACCGCAGTTGACTACATGGGAGTCCAGCAACCTAGCCATTATGCCAACTGCTGGTCCCATGCCCAAAATCTTCAAAGGAGAACGGATTAACACTGTCCTATACCAAACTAAAAAAGAAAAAAGAAAAAGCTGTGTAGTACTAGACAACACATGAAATGTAAGAAATGTTTAATTAATTAATAATAGACTCAAACCACAGTCAACCATGTGGAAGTCTAGTATCTCAACCACCTCGCCACCTGCTAGCCCCAGAAAAACAGTTTTCTTGGGGCCAGTAAATGGTGTAATGGTTACATTGCTGGACTTCCACATAGTCAACTGTGGTTCCAAGTCCCAGATCTGGCAGCTTTAAACTCTCTTGTGTGTGTGTGTGTGTGTGTGTGTGTGTGTGTGTGTGTGTCTCCAAAATCTGAAGAGGAGACTGGAGGACAGGGATTGTGACGTGACCATCCCCCTAAGGGGTGAGTTCTTGCTTTCTGTCCCTCTGTCTGTGTCTGGAGAGCTCACGTGCCCTGTATCAAAAAAATTCTGTTTCTTAAAAAATATATACAGGGACTAGCAGTTAGCATAATGGCTATGTCACTGGACTCCCATGTAGTCAACCACAGTTTGAGTCCCAGACCTGGTGGCTTAAACTCACACCAGGCGCATGTGTGTGCATATCCAAGATCCTGAGAGGAGAATGGAAGAGAAGGGATTGCAACGTGGTCATCCCCCCTGGGGG